GGGGTATATAGGCAAGAGCGAAGGAATTCATGGGTAGTGGCAAAGCTAACTAGCCAAAGACAGGGGCCAACAGCAGCGTCCCATCACTCCCAAGACGAAGGATGAAATCGCGGAGGTAGGCAGAACGAAGGTGAGAAGCAGGGGTCCTGACGGGGATCGATAGTTAGGCATTGGAAGGCCCTTTGGCAGAGCATTGGGGTGAGTCGCCTCACAAACTTCTAAAATAACGTACTTCATAAAAGGAAGGGTGCGGGTGCCGATTGAGGAGCAGCAACCATCGTCCCCATCTTTAGCAAGGGGACGCGAAGGGAGTGCTCCAATACCGCAGGCATCAGCTTGGACCTCCCCATTAACATGAAGCATGCTACGAGCGTCTGCGTCTAATCCAGGCTGAGATAATTTGTCTCTATCTCACAGGAATAGTTCAGCTTCACGCCCGAAAGGTCCACCACTGATGCCATCTTCATCGCCAGACAGCTGATGGAAAAGTACTTGAGAAGCGGCGACCCTGCTACCTAGCCTTCCTGGACCTTGAGAAGGCATTCGACCGCCTGCCTCGGCCTGTACTCTGGAGAGCGCTCAGAGAACGTAACCGAGCATCTGGTCTCCAAAGTAAAGGACATGTACGATGGGGCTAATGCAGCTGTAGGCACCTCTGCCGGCTTGACAATATGAAGTAACACATTACGGTTGAGATGCAGTAGGAACAGCCACTGCAGCTCGCTTCCTCTTCCTCCTGACTCTAGATGTCATGGCAAAAGAACTCATGGAGGGACCACTGAAAATCATCCTCTACGCTGACGACATCGCCCTGATAGCGGAACAGAGGAAGCAACTGCCCAGGACCATATGTGCAGCGTGGCCAGGACACTGCCTCGCTGAGGCTGACCTCCTGCTGAACGGAGGAGATCAAGTTCCTGAGCTCCTGAAGCGTGCACGAATCCATAGTGGACGCCATGGCGAGTAGCCATCGAAAGGGTCGAAGGACTTCAGTACCTGGGCAGGAGCGAGCAGTGATGGCCGTGGACTAGGCGGTTAAGGCTGGAATCACGCAGCCTGGGATGAAATGGGCGGGAGTCCTTTGGATCTGTTGCGACCGACGTGTGTTCGAGAAACGCTCAAGGGCAAGCTGATACCAGGCGGTGGCTAACAGGCTTAACAATGCCTACGGCAGTGGAGTGGCTGCCATCTGCAAAAGGAACCATTGAAAGGCAGCTCCCACTCACTGAGTGAGGATGCTGAGATGGGCCTGCGGCTGGACACGACTCGACAGAGTCAGAAACGAGGATGTCAGGGCGGTCACACAGACGGCCCCGATCCAGCTGAAAGCACGAGAGCAGCGACTGCGATGGTATGGGCACGTACTGAGGGCCTGAAGACCACCCAATAAGAAAAGCCTTGGAATTCGAAGTGGAAGGCAAGCGACCACGAGGAGCCCCAAAGAAAAGATGGAGGGACGTCATCAAGAGGACCTCACTGAAGTTTGAAAAGCCACGGCAGAAGATGCAGTGGATCGGAACAAATGGCGACGTCTAACAAGAACAGCGGACCCTGCGACGGCGCGGGACTAACGCTAGGGAGAAGAAGAAGAAGAAGAAGACCATGATCGGTTGACGAAGCTTGCTCAGCTTCCGCGAGCGTTCACTGATATCACCAGAGTGAGATTTGTGTAAAGCGGCATTCAAAGAACTAAAAATGCGAAACGCCACGCCCCCCCCCCGCCTCCGTCGAAGAACTGCGCTCGTGCTGCAGTTACATTTACAGTGCTAGATTTATTAGGATTACCCTTACAACCACATAAGAAGGACTAAATACTGAGGTAACTGAGGCCGAAAATATGGGGACGCTGTGCTGAATCCCAGCAGTCGACGACGGGGCTCATGTTGAAAAATCACATGTCAACCCTCATAATGTTGCCCAGTGCTGTAGCAGTGAATAACAAATGATAGACGTTGTTGCTGCAGAAAACTAGGTGAAATTGTTCTAGCGATCCCTTCCAGAATGCTGGCGAAGAAGCCGTCGAACAACGCTGATCCCTTGCTCTGAAGTGCCGCACTGTTTGCCGCGCGCGACCTATGCGGAGTTACCTGCCTAATTGGCGATAGAGTCGCCCGCCTCCCGGGGCAGTGAGAGGTAGTGGGTGGTTTAATTTAATACAAGATTCGCAACCAAGACGTAATGACTTTATCAGGCTGAGGTTCCCTAGTCGCTTAATAGCATTCAGTAACCTAAAAACCCACACACTATTCCAAGATTCCTAGGAAGTCGAACTTTGGTGCTTATTGAAATAGTCTAATAGTGAAATATAATAGAAATTTCTCTTACGAAGTCATCGTCGTCGATACACAATTTTGCCAAAGTGCAGTCATTTATATGTTAAACACTTGGTGGAAAACAATATCAAGATCATGAGTACTTGATGTCAGACAAAACATTTATTGAGTACACCAGGTGGAAGACGACTGCACTTTGCGCCCGGTTGTTATTTCATCGATCTCCAGCAATCGAACGCCAGTACTTGATTGCCACTTTTCATATTTCTCATACTGCTATTGTTTCTCTCATTGCTGCTGCAACTTATCGACTGAAAACGAGTCATTTTCTTATTTATACATTCAAATTACTGGAGAGCTGTAAACTATCAGAAACTGTCAGCTTGTTCTTGATCGCTGTCTATCCGGCTGTTCAGTTGTGATAATAGCAAAGGGTTACTCATAGTGGTCTGCCTGCAGCGATGACAGTAGTGACGTTACATCACAAACGGGGCACGTCGTACATTGGGGATAGCTGGCGAGCGGGGCGTATTTAGTCCATGGAAGAAGGGATGTCGTACTGGCCTTTGAGGAGAGAGCTTTTGCTTGTTGACTTTTCTCGGTTTTATACACTCTATTTACCCCTTCCCTCTACCCCACTCTCATCCCCTGCTCGACGGCAGTTTTGCAGTTCTTGGGAGAAAGGAGATGGTGGAGATTTGCCGAAAAAATCTGGAAAATGGGACGAAGTAGGGAAAGATTACGAAGATGCTAGGAGGGATGAGGGATGGGGAAGAGAAGGTCGCACCAGGAGGAAGTTTCAAGGAGGGTTGTATCTGCGCAATTTTTGCGAACGGTAGGAGCTGCACTGATCACTAGGCGCTGTTCTAGCAGTAGTGAAAATGATCACATGAGACGAGGGATTGATCAGATTCAAAAACTATACGCACTTGTGGATTCCGGTTGAGCTATTATATGAAAATTAGCGCTCGAAGTTCGCAGTCCCGAGGAAAAGTTGTGTTTTGGAAGTGGGGCAATTCAGCGACGGTGGGGGAGGGGCATTCTGAACCCTCGCTCCATCGCATCGACAACCCATTTAGAGAGCCCTTTCGTGAGCTTACAAGACAGGTTAC